CAAAGTTGATTCTATTGCTTCAATCAAAGCAGCATTCTCTTCTACAGTGGTTATTTCTGTAGTATCTTCAAAAAGGGCACAGTCTATGAAAACATGTAAGTTTCTGAGTAAAAGCTATTTCCATGATCAATCCTAACTTTTTGCATTTAATACTTCTGCAATTTCTTGCTTTCATGAGGATGAATTTTTTGTCCTCTTCATTCTTTAAAGGATAAGCTGACTAAAATTCACCCTTTATTTGAACCCAGTTCCAATGTCCTGAGAAAAAGGAGACTCTCAAAATAGAAAAAGGAAAAAAAAAAAAAAGAGGGGGGGTTATTTACAGTTAATTGAGAGGCATCTAGTATTATGCAAAACTTCTTAGTGAGGGAGGAAAACCAGGGAACTGCAAAATTAACTGTGGAACAGAGTTGGTGCTTCTAGTGCTGTCAGCAGAGGGCTTAAAGAGCTGCTGAGGGTCTAACATCTGCAGAGAGCCACCCATACCTGCTTCTCCTCATTGCTGTCACCTTCTGCAACACCGTCACTCTTCTGTAATTTTCAACCACTGCACTAGCAATGCCGTCTCCTAAGAGCTAGCATCTTGCATTGTTGCTGATTGCTGTCAGGCTTAAGTGTGAAATACCCCGAGTGTAACTGCCTTATTAAGCTATGGAAGCTTGCATTTTAAAGGTCAAGAGTTCCCAGCCAATCCTGGGAATTTAAGATGGGGATAATATTGCCCAAAGACACTAAGCAAAATTTAATCTTCTAGAGACACTCGTTTCATTTTCAGAGGTCAAGAATGAATACTGATCATCTATGTGCTTTGGTACACAAAAATTCCAGGGATATACTTCTTTGACTCAGCAAAGTCTGGCATGTGTTCTATTAAATGCAATGTTAACATGGAGATAAATCCTTTCCTCAGTAGACCTCCCTAATGAGAGCGGCCTGGAAGATGACAGGATGTTGCAGGCTCAAGCTGTTGTATATAAATCCGTTTTCAAGCAGAATGACAATTGAGGTATTTACGCAACATCATAAATACTTCTCCTGGAAGCACTACGCTATTTCTAGGAAGCCAGCTCTCTGCCTTGTGCCTTCTGAAGGCATGGAAGCTGATGAACACATACCAGGAGCAAAAAAAAGTCTACCTGGCCATGTGGAAATGTCAGAGGTTTAGCAGAGTTAGTGTTCCTTTCTGCTGGAACTAGATATCACATAAAACGATACCTGAATTCGAAAATAAGTTAAAGTCTAAGGGGTAGCAAATCTTATCACAGAGATACCGACAAATATTAAATTTGCAGTTGTTCCTCTTTTTCAAGGTTACATCACTGTTTTGCACAGAAAGTCTCGGAGGGGAGGAAGACTGCAAATCCCGATGACATATAATTTCTTTGCAGAGAAAGTATTTAGAAACTACAGTGCCAGCGAGGTATGACCACTGGATTCAGCAGCACACTTTAAACGTTTAGGTCCTTATTTAAAAAAAAAAAAAGCAATTTCATATTTTCAACTTATTTTCCCTGAACAAGAGATTTCCACGATTCTTTAGAAGTTTCTTTGCTTCCAACAAAGTGAGAAAAATGTGAGAAAGCAGTTATACTGTTAAAAAAAAAATAAAAAAATCCTAACCTGCTCTAAACCAACTGTCCTTCCTTCTTTCCTGTTCAAACCATATACTTACGAAACTTCACACTTAAGTAACAGCAACATATTGTACTAAAAAATGTCATAGTGGATAGAGATTTTTCTTTCTTTTCTCTCTTTGGTTTGAAAAAGAGGAACTGAGGGTGATTATGTGGGTTGGGCACTTCAGTCACAAGTTGCTTATATGCATGACTACCCTTAAACATTTATCTTTACTTCATTACTTTGACTCATACTTCATTGACACAAGATCTACTACAATGGGAATCTGAAAAGACCATCTCATGAAGAATAATTTTGGATTAATTCATTTTGCAAATATGCTTGTGGGAAATAACATCAGTAAAAATGCTGTACAGGTAATGCAACTGAACATTTTCATTATTTAAAGAGCAAAAAGATTTATTAATTTTTTGCTGCAGGGCATTTCATGTTTGAATAGTCATATTTAAGTGACATTCTAGCTTTCACAAGCAAAGCTCAGAAGGTCTCCTCTTAGATAATTAACTATAGCCTTAGAATCTAATGTTGAGACACAGGAAACATACAGAATCTTCAACAGGGAAAAAAAATGTAAATGTTGATTGGGGATTACAAGAACCTACCAAGAGCATTACGAATTATCAATATATGCTAACAGATTACTTTTATTTTTGCAAATGTCAAGGAGTTTGTTATTACTTTAAAAAAATATGTCACTGACATCTGAAGAACTGTTTAAATGTCAACATAATTTCACTATAAATCAGTACAATATTTTGTCAGCCTTCCTAGAAATCAGGCAGCTGCAGAATGCAGAAATTTACAAAGCACATTTCATTTTGGAAGTACCACAACATTTTTGCATATTTTATTTCCACAGAAAGATTAAACATGTGGTAAGAAGTAATGTCCCTGTCTTGTATTAGTATATTTAGAAACGTTACCACTGAGTAATTTAAGTTGGAAGGGAATTCTGAAAACTAGTCATCTGGTCCAACCCAAAGGCAGGTTCATTACATCAGGTTGCTCGGGGCTTTGTCCAGTTGAGTTCTGAGTATCTCCAAGGTATATTCCACCACCTCTCTTTCAGTGTTTGACCACCCTCATGGTAAAAACATTTTTCATGATAGCCAATTGAAATTTCTACCATTACATCTTGTGTCAATTGCCTCTTAGTCCATCATTTTGCACCTATAAGAGATGTCTGGCTCTGTTGTCTCTGTACCATGCCATTAGGTATTTGGAGACCACAACAAGTTGGAGACCCCCACAAACCCCCAAGCCCTTTAAGGCTCAGCAGGTCTAATTCTTTCACCCTCCCCTTCTCTATCAATGTACTCCAAACCATCTTGCTGAATCACCATCGATGTCTTCCATATGTCCATATGTTTCCATCTGTCAATGTCATGAACAAGCCCAAGACTGGACCTAATACTCCAGATGTGGTCTCCCATATGCCAAACAGAAGGGAAAAACCACTTCCCTTGATCTGCTGGCTATACTTTATATACTTGTTATATATAGACCAGGATCCGGCTGGCCCCCTTTGCTGCTAGGGCATATTACTGACTCATGTTCAGTTTGCTGTCCACTAGGATGTTGAGGTTTGTTTCTGCCAAGATGCCTTCCAGTTAATCAGGCATATGGGATATTCCATCCCAGAGGTGGGGCTCTGTATTTACATTTGTTGAACTTCATAAGGTTCTTGTTGACCCATCTTTCCAGCCTGCTGATGCCCCTCCAAGACCCTGCCCTATATATACTACTCCCCCAAATTTGGCATTGCCTGTGACCTTGCTGAGGGATGCCAGTATTTGCCAGCTGGACTTTGCATTGTTGATCACATTTCCGTGAGCTTGGTGTGTCAGCCAAATTTCCATCCACTTTATAGACCACATCTCACCAATTTGTCTATAAGGATACTATAGGAGAACAAATTGTGAATACTTAGGATTCCTACTAGTATCTTGCCTAGAATAGTTCACAGTCGTTCTAGATTTATTGATTATTGGGTGATAACAGACAAGCAGAATAGTCTGGGAAGTTAAACTATGGGCTGTGTGTGAATCATATGAAATATCAGTTACAGAATTAATATCTGCATATGGGAGTGGTTTCACATGAAAGGCAAAAATGTGATTCTGTTCACAAAAAAAAATGTTAGAGAAAGCTCTACACTTCAGGAAATCAAAGTTTATCCAATAATGCCTGTACAGATATGTATGTGAGCCCAAACATTGCTATAGTGTTTTTTTTTTTTCAGTGAACAAGTTATTCTTGTAAGATATTACCTCTGTCTACACACTTTGCCTCCTGAATCAAAAGAATCAAAATTTTAAAATCACAGAAACAAAATTTTAATCCTGTGATGTGCAATTGCTAGTGTTTTTATCTTACTCTCTCAAAATTAGCATATAATAATAATAATAAAAAAATAGAGGAATTGAAGCTTACCTGCAGTAGATGAAGTATTACTTTGCTTCAGACTGATGTTTAGAAAACGAAGAATAAAAGTATAGGTAGCAATCATAACCTCAATATTTATATATATTAATACATATAGATTGTAGTATAATATAGTATATAACGTAGTGTATATATATTGTTCATGCCCAGCTAGGAACCATGAATCAGTTGAAGACATACTGTCAAGGAAACAGGAGGTAAGAAAAGGAATATTCCTCTTAAATGAAATTTGATGTGTACCGAATATTTTCAGTATGCAGTCACTTAAACAATGCCATCAATATTTATGTGATATATATACATATACATACATACATATATATATATATATATACACACACACACATATATAAATGTACCATATGCAGTCAGAAGTGCTTTCAAGCATTGGAGACGTTCTCTGCAGTCTAAATGGACAGTGCAGTGGAAGAGGTGAGCAGACAGTATTCTTGGAAGATGGGGTTTATTTTGATACAATTATAAATGTCAAGTTGTCCATTTCATTGTTACATGCTACAGCACTCACATTCATGGTTCCATTTTTATTTTTATAGTGACGCAATTACACTAGAGCTAGCATATCTAGCCCAGTGAGTATCTGAGCTGATAACTAAGATGTATTTTATTCCTTCATCTGAAGATTTTTAATGACTGTTTGGTAAAACAAATGACATTAATTGACAAACTAAACCAATCAAGGCTGATAATTTTTTTTTCACTTGACGTGATGTATTTCCTTCAAAGAAAGTAGGATATACTCTGATGCTAATTTGTAAATATATTTTTTTGATTTCTGTGTGCCAGAATAGTTGCAAGGAATGTGGCATGAAACACAGGGTCCAAGAAAAACAATATAAAAAACCTGAAGCATGCATTAATTTGAACATTCTGAATAAGACACCATTTAACAGCCCAGATTGTGTGTACAATATGCTAGTGTTTATTTATCTTTTAAAATTCAAATATATATTAGTAAAATCACTGCATGCATTATTTCCACACATTTTGTTCATGTGACAAATCTAAAAAATATTTTATGAAGCATAAGACCATTTTACAGGTATTAAATAACAGTTGAAAACAGAACAGCTGTTTGCCTTTATGGTAAAAAGGGCATAATTATGGTGAAAAGATCTTTCTTTAAAGAAAAGCTCCCCAAAGGATTTTTTTGAATATTTTTGGAAAAATGTTACGGTGATGTTTTCTTCTGCAGTTTCTTGTACCATACAGGTGCCTCTGTATTTGTCTGTAAAAAATAAAAGATGTCTTAATTGTAAGACAAATCGAAAGTCTAGACAAAAACATGCAATCTACACTAAAGTCTCTTTCCTTCCTCTGCAGCATTAATTTAACTTTTTGCTCAAATTCAAATAAATTAAAAATAAGACTATGTACTCTAGGTTGTTATTACTATATATGTTTATTAAAACCTCTCTATTTCTAGGTAACAACAAGTGGATAAGATAAAGGATTTGTTTTAAAATAGAGATCACAATGAAAACATGAGCTGAGTGTACCATAAATAGATTTCATTCTAAATACCATCATCATACTTTTGTATCTGAGAATGGATGGAACTCAGAAAAGACATCTTACGTGTACCATAACTAACCAACACTTCATGCACAAATATAGTTCTTCAAAAATTATAATCCGAAATAAAAGAACTCAGCAGTTTTCTGACGACGTGGAAAGTATTTTAATTGTAGAGAATTATCTGTGATCAACATCTCCTTGCCTTCATAATCCTATGGGCTACTGCTACACAGTCAGGATAGCATAATGTTCTTGTGGCAAATTCAATGGTTGTTATAGAGAGAAAAAAAAAATTAAAAATTTGGAGGTGCAACAAGGTAGGGACTATTCTGTATTCAGGGGTCACTACAAACTCGCACTTTACTGAGTACTGTCTCTTCCGTCTGCTGCCTCTAAGTTTGTTCTAGTTCAGTTTTCTGTCTGCTATTTCTTTTCTTCCAAGACTTAATAGCTAGTCAATCTTCAATTTCAGCTGGCTTTGGATCCTCAACACATTTAAATATCCATCTTTCTCTCTTTTTTAAGTTCTCAGTTATAAAAATAAATCTGCTTATTTGTACAAACTTTTAAAATTATAGAAATTGGATGAAATCGGCAGGTTCTTCACAGGACTACTAAATTCTTTCCCCATCTAGTAAGAAATTCTGCCATTGGCCCATTTTCAGTTCCCTACTCCAAAGTCTGAAAAGGATAGAGTTTTTCAAAGAGAAACAATTAAAACATGCCAAAGCACCTTTTTACCTTTTTTTTTTTTTTTTTTTTTTTTTAGATTTCCACATTATTTTTATACCCCTAAGACAGGACAGATTAACCACTCAGATCCTGGATCACAAAAGATACATATTTGGACAAAAATAGAAAAAAAAAAAAAAAGGTAAAAAAAAAATAGTGTGTAGAATTCTACTTCGTGTGGATTCAACCAGTCTACCCTAAAGGTAGCCCCAAGCAGTGTAAATCTGAGTCATGATTTGTGTTGTGACTCAACATTGTAACTTTATTAAATTTATCAGTTGAGACACACTCATAGTAAGAAACTTCTAAATTATTTTTCAGAAGCTTTCAAATACTAGAAGCACTAAATCTGAAGCAGGCAACTTAAAGTATTTAAATTCAAGCATTTAGTTTCTAAAGGAATAAAACAGGGTTTTGTAATACCTTAGTAAAGAACTTATTAAAGTTCTTTAGTAAAAGAACTGATAAAATCTCTGGCCATAAATTTATACATATACATGAATATAATATATGCAGGAATATACATAAATACGTTTATTTTCTTACCGATGCTCTTTGTGATATATGTACACATTCAACTCATGCTCAGGGTAGATTTAAAATTATATACTTATTCTGTAGCTATTAAAATTTTGCTAAATAATTCTAACATTACAATCACTTTTTTTTTTATCTTGTTTACTTTGAACTTAAGATGCAGAAACTACCAAACAGCTAAATAACATCATAAGCTGCAATTTATCTCTTCAAAATTAAACATTACCATAAAGAGCTGCAAATATTAAGCTGAATTATTTATATATCTCCTTGAAGTATGAACCTATTTTTTTTTTCGTTCTAAAATGTGAGGAAAATTATCAAAAAACCTGTGGCACTTACTCTTAGTATAGTACTTACAAATAACGTTGGCTTAGGTGTAAATATATTTTCTTCTTCATGTTCTGGTGGCAGTTTTACTAAAGGGTTTAGTATGTTCTTTGCCGTTGTATTTTTTACATCAATATTAGACTGAGGCAAATTTTGTTCCTTGTGTTTACCATGAAGATTAATTAGAATCTGTTTCATTACGGCTAGTTCCTATAAACCACAAAAGGACAACACTAAGTTATTCAGTAAAATTATATTTGAACCTATTTTGTTAATAATGAATTTATATTCACCAAAAGAAATATAAGTGGATCAGTAAATACAACAAGCATGACCATCATTAACATGATTACTAATTGGATACTAGTAAAAGTAAGAAAGTGAAAAAGTCACATTGGATTTATACAACTCCAATTTTGTATTGCTTACATGCTGTAAAGGAGAACATTAATTGTGCTCCCAGCATCTCTTTTAACTTAAGCTTTCATTTAATTTAAAATAATTATTTTGAGTTTGTTTTGTCAGGCAGAGGGAGTTTACAAATCTAATGTGAAAGACAGTGACAAATTGTGCTTTCAAGCATTAGGTCTTGCACAGAAGCCTTATAAATATATTACGAGAAATATATATGTCTTTATATCTGGATTAGAAAAGTCAGAGAAAAACCTTAAGAGGACCTACAGCAAAAATGGGATCAGGTAGAAAAGAAATTTCATGAAACATAAAAAGTTCCAACATAGGAGGAGAAAAACAAAAGTACAAGAAAATGTTTAGGTTTTTTTTGGATGTTCTAATAATTTGCTTTATAAACAATTTGAATTAACTTAAAAAGCAGCCTTTTCATACTACTTAGCTGAAAGCATCCATTATTCAATTGGTATCATAAAGGGAGAAAGGAAAACTCATAATACTTTGTGACTTTAATTGGCTGTCTTCTTTTGTTGTCTTGCATCTTCTAGTGCCTAATGTTCTCTCCCCCAGCATGTAATGGGTATAATTACTATAAGTTACAGAATTTAGAGTGTTTTATCTGTTGTTTTACCTCCAGATTGTGATTCACAATTCATTATTGCAGAACCAAGAACAGCAAAGTCAGTAGGAAAACTAAAAGATTAGCATCACAATAATTAACATCCTATCTTATCTCTAAACTAGAACAGGGTAACTCATTTAAAACAAAGGAGTTTTACAATTTTATAGCTGAATGGCAAACGTTTGCTTTTACTTATTTCTTAGCACTTGCCAGTTATATTGATGCACATCCTTTTTTCATTGCATTATTAATAAACACTTAAAAGAAAAGCCTTTTAAAACATTCTTGACATATAGCTTCTCTCTGTCCATTATTGCCTTTAATACAAGATACAAATATTTTACCTAAAGTCAAAAGAACCACGTTGTTCTCTTTAAAATGCCCCACACTAATTCAGTTCTATGAATGGATGTTAAACTCCACGGATGAGCTTTATCGAGTGTACAAATTGTTCTTGTATCTCAGTCATTTAATATTAACTATTTGCATAATTCAGCCATGTGTGGTGGCATGTTAAAACAGCATGACTGCAGAGCAGCTGTTTGAAAGGACTGCATAGCTGATGCCAACATGTTTTTCAAAGTTGTAAACTCTGCAAAGATGTTGCCAAAGCGACACATAGACAGAATTTCTTGATGAAAATAACTCAAGCAAGTATATAGCAAATAAGTACGCTATCAGAGGAGATTAAATTGTACATGAACAATGTTTTGACATTAACAAGTGCTGTTCCTATAGTTAAACTTGGTTATTCTGTAAACCAAATAGCTGCACGTTTGAACAAGGCAAAACCTCAAAACTGTCATGCAGATTTATTTCAGAAACAGAGTTGAAACCTGTATGCATAGGGTCAAATTCTCTCATATCAAAATCCTCTCAGCACTCTAAGGTCTTCTCTCCTCCCAGTGTCTGTCTTGTACTTGACAGCCCTGCCTTTTTTCAGACTTGGAACAGGCTCTGGAGAGTCAGCTCTAGTATGAACTTCCACTCTAACAGTGGAATTCCCAAATAAGAAACTATGGGAGGGAATGACAAGGAGTGGGGATGACAAATTAGCCCACAATGAATAAATTCATTTGGCATCACAGCCAAATTTATTATGAGAATTTAGTTCAAGCTGCCTTCATATTTGTTCTACAATCACATTCACTAAGAAAAACCTTAACAAAATTGGCAAAATACCACAGGAAACACTGAATCCAATAGAATCACTACTATGTCTACTGCTACACAAGAAAAGAAATTTGGAACAGCACTTGCAAGAGATTTGTAGTTTTCTACTCATGTAACATTGACAAAAAAGTTCTGTCCCAAACTGCAGTAGTTTTACTCATATCTCTAAAGATTTCTATGCTCCTTAACACAATCTTATTTCTTAGCTTCACTTTTAAATACTAAACAAAGATTCAGTAGCAATACCTGGCACTGTTAGCACATTACCATGATTCAATACTATTTTATAATCCTAAAAGCTGACAATTCGGTCTGGACAATTAGCAGTGCAAAAGGTTTGAAGATTGTGCATAGGAGAAATATGTGGATTTGTTCCATTTTGAACAGAAATAAAAAGGAGGAAAGTAGGTATAGGGTTCAAAATGGACAAGAATAATCTTTTGTGTAGGACGTATTAGTTTCAGGATAAGCTAAGTAAGGGAAGATGTGAAGAGAAATGGATGGTTGAAATTTTTGGACAATTTTACCACATCAAGTCCATAGTTCTATGTCAATGCAGTCCCGTGCAAATTGTTCACTTACATTATTCACCTTGGTTCCTCAGTGTGCTGAAAAAACAGTGTTGCTAAGGCTCTATATGTCCCAAGTCCTCTGTGGAGGTCACAGAATCACAGAATGGCTTGGGTGGGAAGAAAACTTAAAGACCATCTAGTTCCAACCCCCTGCCATGGGCAGGGACACCACCCACCAGATCAAGTTGCCCAGGGCCTCACCCAACCTGGCCTTGAACACTTCCAGGGATGGGGCATCCACAGCTTCTCTGGGCAGCCTGTGCCAGTGCCTCACCAAAGGCAACTCACATTCTCAGCAAAGAATTTCTTCCTAACATCTAATCTAACTTTCTTCTCTTTTAGTTTAAAACCATTTCCCCTTGTCCTAGCATTATCTGCCACAGTAAAAAGTTGCTCCATTTATTTAGACCTTGTTGTGCTGGCTCCTGGATTAGGAAAGCCATTATATCTAAGCCATGGAGTGTCACAGTATTGAGGCTTCCAAGTCTGAGGACTTTTGCTTTGGAGAGCCAGACAGCAATTCTTCTTGGGAGGACTGTGTGTCCTGACACCTGTGTGTGGATTCACCCAGCTCCTTGCTGTGCTGGCAGTACAGCTTTGGTCTCACTTGCCCCTAACTTTGGGAACACCAGCACCCAGTCCCCACCTAAGGAATATTCTGTGGGAATGTGGCAATACAGATAATGGAAAACAACGCAGTTAGCTTGAAAAGGTGGGTTCAGATGAAGCAAGGGAAAATTTCAAGTATGCAAATGGGACAAAAACACTGCTTATATACAGCAACTGTTGCACACACGTATAAATATCAGTGACACACTCTATCATGAAATATTTTGAAAGTCTGCCCACAGAAAGCTGAAAAATTTTTGTTTAAGGATGCTAACCTGCTCTGGCTACCAGCACAAATACAAAAAACAAACAAACAACAAAGTAATGACCTGTGTGACACATGGAATTTTAGCTCAAGCTTTTAACACCTTCATTTACATGTCTAAACTTAAGTATCTACACACGAGGTAGGAATTTAATTTTCCATTACACCTAAGTGGACACCTATTGGCATGTCAGCTGAATTGTGTTGTAATAGCACTAACATATTGACTAGGTTGCTAGTGACTAAGCTGCTGTAAAGCAAAGGGACGAATGCTCACTTCCATTTAGATAAGTAAAGTTAGGTGTCATAGACTGAATCCATTTCTCACCTCACTCTCCTCATCATTTACTTTTCTCATCCTTCTACTTCACCTAAAACATCCTTCATCCTGAGTAGCCAATGTGCAATTGTAATTCACCTCGCACACATATTTGAAGTATTGAATTGCTGTGTTGAAAGGAACTGCATTTTTAGAACAGGCACTCACACCATTGATCATGTAAGCTTTCATAAACACACACAGGTTCATACTAGAACAATCTAACATCCCACATTCCACTTAATTACCCACATTTAATGAAGCTTACTTAAACTATAAAAGAATCACGGAGACCTTTGCATATATAATTAGTAGCTGGAATTCAAAATAAGTGATTAGAATGAACAGACTGAGAACAATGGGAGTGACAAAGTGGGAGCTGAGGAAAGGTAACATATACTGCATTGTGAATACTATCAGAAGAACAGACTTGTCCATTTCTATTTATTTATTTATTTATTTTTGTGCTGTGATTTCCAACATCCTTAATTAAAACTAGCAAAAGGCATTTTGTATGCCAGTGTTTGTTTCTTTGTTTAATTGATAAATGACATATTTATGTGTAGACAAACGATAGGCACAAATATTCTCCATGTTGCTCTTTGATTAAAATGTTTTCTGTTTTGGGATTTTTTCCTTATTCTACCTTGTCAGTTTATTAGGCTGAATGCTATCAGTGCTGTTGTGATGAAATTCTCTCTGTAAAGTCTGTAAAAACTTTATACAGTATCAAAACCAGCAAGCTTTTAAACCATGTTAAAGGAAACAAACCAAAGCGCCAATTATTTTCAAAAGGTAAAGTACAAAAGGCAAAATAGTTAGATGCTGTCTGCATATTTGTATTTCAGTAGAATTTGAGATTCCTGTGATGATGTTTGATCTTAAAGCAAGTAAAAGTTATATTTTATTTAAACTTGTTTTTACCTGTTTATAAGGATAATTGAAATATAAATTACATGAACAGAGACGGAAGATCAGTTTGGGATTAGGAAGGACAAAATTTGATTATTTCAACTAAATATTAGAAGACAGGGACGACCAAACACAAGAATTAAAAAGGCAGCAGTATCAAGCAGAAATGTATTTGGAGTTATGGATTCTATAAACAGAGCTCTGTTAACAGTGTTTTTGTTGTCCTTGATACATGCTCAAACATGCTTGTACCAGAAAAGCCAATTATGTTTCCCAAATGAGTTCTAATAAATTCAAAATAAGTATAGTATTAAATATAACAATCTT